AATGTAGTAACACTAACTGCAACATGGTATTGTGCCAGAAATGTGGGATATTCATATCGAATTTTATTATATTATTAATGTGGTGTGGACATTAAAGGTCCCATATTGTCAAAACTGAAATTTCCTGGAGGCTCATGAATATTAATTAGACAGGCCAAAATCGACCTGTTCTCAGCAGAGCTCCTGAGAAAGGAGCTGTAAAAATATATTGAGATGGTTTTTGGTACTTATACCGCAAATATATATTCTTAAGGACATCAAAACCTAAAATAAAACTCCAGAAAGGTGTACAATATGGGACCTTTAAATGTATTAAATGAGTAATGGAATATAATTACAGTATTTTTTGTGATTAAGCTATAGCATAATATGCATTTATATTAAATGTATTTAGACTACTGTTTTTCATTTACTTTGTTTTTCAATACCTGGAAATCATATAGTTACATTTTTACCATTGTATTGAGGTGTTATATGTGTGGGTTTTAACTGTGGTTATCATGATCTAAATGTATGCGACTATGGAAGACCAACGGTTAATTTTAATAAAACTCAAACAGTCAGAATAATTAAATTTCACCAGATAAAAATTAGGTTGTTATAATTTTTACAGATGTTATTGTTTTTGATAATGAACATAAAGCTACTACTTCTGTCAGTTCAAGCTACTGTCAAATGTGCATTTCTAAGAGACAATTTTTTTTAAATATTATTAATACTGCAAACTTTGCTGAGGATACGTGCCAAGGTCAGGCAACACCTGAACCTGTTTCTTGATTTGAAACAATATCACTGATTAGAACATGCAGAAATTAAGAAATTAATTCTTCTATTAAGATATTTATTTTGTTTAGGAAAAACACCTGGAAAAGTGTAAAGAATTCAAAAGCGTGAAGTGTTTGCATCTTCTGAGAGTAGTTTAAAACCACAATTAACAGTCTGATTCTACAACTTTCACTTAAGAGCAAAAATTTGCCTTTAAACTTAACAGAAATAAAGATTTGAAATTTATCATGATAATTATCAATATCGAATGATATGTACAATTTTATTGTGATAATTTTTTGGCCATATCGCCCAGCCCTAATTGTAATATTTCACTGTAAAATAAAAAATAGTACAGTCATGGCCAAAAGTTTTGGCAGTGACATAAATTTTGTGTTTTGCAAAGTTTGCTGCTTCAGTATTTGTAGATTATTTTTCCACATGTTTCTATGGTATACTGAAAAACAATGATAAGCATATCATAAGTTTTAAAGGCTTTTATTGGCAAAAAAATATAATGAATCAATATTTCCAGTGTTGACCCTTGTTCTTCATAGCCTCTGCAATTCGCTCTGGCATGCTGGATATTAGCTTCTGGGCCAAATCCTGACTAATGGCGATCCATTCTTGTCTTATTAGTTCTCGGACTTGATCACAATTTGTGGGCTTCTGCTTGTCCACTCGCCTTTATCACCAAATTGCTCATGGATTGTTGGAAGAAGTCACTCTTGCCGGACGTTTTGATACCATTTTTTATTCATGGCAGTGTTTTTGGGCAGAATTATGAGAGAGCCCACTCCCTTGGTTGAAAAGCAACCCCACACATGGATGGTCTCAGGATGCTTCACTGTTGGCACAACACAGGACTCATGGTAGTGTTCACCTTTTCTTCTCCGAACAATCGATTTTCCAGATGTCCCAAACAGTCGGAAGGGAGCTTCATCAGAGAAAATAACTTTGCACCAGTCTTCTGCTGTCCAATCTTTGTACTTCCTGCTGAATTTCAGTCTGTCCTTGACGTTTTTCTTGGAGAGAAGTGGCTTCTTTGCTGCCCTTCTTGACACCTGGGGCCTGATGTATAAATGTTGCGTACGCATAAAATGGGCATGGAAATGTGCGTACGCAATTTTCCACACACATATCGGGATTTATAAAAAAAATTAACTAGGCGTAAATATGTGCGCACCGTACGGACACACACACTGCAATGACTTTGTTTGATGGCTTTGGAACATAGACGGTAACGACAGACATGCGCTCGTTGATCAAACAGTCCATTGGTCTGATGACAGTATAACCTCTGTTCACAGGTGTCGCGCACAGACAGCAGCCTAATGATAACCCCTTTCGTGCTCTTCCCAATATTGTGACAAACAACATATTTAAAAGATAGAATTTGAAGGAAACCGTAAGATATGCACGTTTTATTTTCAGAATGTTTTGTTATTAACGCGGAGAGTCAGAGTTATTTACACTGCAAAAAAATAAGGCCTATCTCTTTCCATAAACACATTCTAAAATATATGTTTACTTTATAGGCAAAATTGCATAAATTTGAATAGCAATGTGATGTCTCAAAAAGCATTTATAGTACGTATCTCATATTGAGATTTATGTAAGCACAATCTTCCGCTGACTGGGTATTACAAAGGGAATTTTGCACAGGTTCTGGCGTACGCATGGCTTTATAAATCTGAACATTTTTGTACGTACGTACTCATTCACACTTTTACATGTGCTGCTGATATGATTAGTCAATTAATGTTAGCTGGTCATTTTGTTTCAGGATTTTTTTTTTTTTTGAAAAGTTTATTTTTTGGCCAATGAAGCTTTTAGCAATTATTTAAAATGCATCTGATCACTCTACACAATAATCTAGAAACAATGTGAATGAACACCACAACAGCTTAAGCAGCAAACTTTGCAAAACACAAAATTTATATCACTGCCAAAACTTTTGGCCATTTAAGAAAAATATAATTTATTATTAATATTAAGAGTATGATTATTACTAAATAAAACAAATATTACTATGACACTTCACTGTAAAATATAAAACACTCAGTATTTAAGAAAAAATATTATATATGTATTATAAATTATTGTATAATATAAACTTGATTGTATTTTATTTACATTTCAACTGTAAAATTACAACACTTTTTTACAATTAATCTCTTTAGTTTCAAATGTTAAACCATCAAGCATTTATACTGATGGAAAACCAGAGAAAGCCCTTAGAGCTTTCTTTTGTTGGTCAGCGTTTAAGCTACAGGTATTGATCCAGTTTGGGATTAAGTGCATTACAAGTTTGGTTGACCAGATTGTTGATGCATATGGTGTCCCCAAATGAATATTAAAATGACCCCAAACTCAGAACAGATACAGAGATTGAGTCTGCATGGAGCAGCATGCACTGTGAATGGAGCCACTCTGAGGCGCTCAAAGTCCAGAGGATAATGAGATGCTCACGCGTAAGAACACAGTGCCATGCTTCGCTCTGAAAACAGCCGATTTAGATTTTATTCCGATTAATCGTGCAGACCTACTTTCATGCTTGTTCCAGTTTGGTTCTATTGCTAAGCTTCCCTCTCCTCTTCTTGTTCTTCAGGTTCTTTAGATAGCAACTGGGTGGTGGGAGCGACGCTGGAAAAGAAGCTAGTACCCCTTCCTCTATCGTTAGCTTTAGGAGCCTTCCTTAACCACCGCAAGAACAAGTTTCAGTGTGGTTTCGGCGTCACCATCGGATAGAACGGCCATGGCGATTTAAGAATCTCAACCGCTACAATCCTCCACCACGCTTGGACCGGTGCAAAGAGACATGGGGACATGGACCAACACTGAAACGGACTCAGAGACTCCCAGTATTAGCGTGTTGAACCTTCACAAGAACGGACAAGGACACAGAGCTCGCAGGACTGACCAGCAGAGCTCTCATCAATCTAAATGTTCAGTTACCTGATAAACAGACAGTCATATAAGGTTTGTTTTTAAATGCACATCATGTGAAATAAATGTCTTGTACGTGTAACATTACAGGTGTTTTGTAAGGACGTATATATCCATATTCACAATATTATTCATTCAAATACAGTCAGATAATGTGGACATGCCTTTGCTCTTTTTTTCTTTTTGCCTTTTGTGACAAAATTGTTTTTTTTTTGTTTTGTTTTTCCACAAGACGGTTTTCTTAAGGGCAAAAGACTTATGCCCTCTCCATTTTTTGATTTATGAGCAAAAAAAAAAAAACTTGTCTTGGTCTATATAAATGTGGTCGGGCGGTTTGAGTGTGTTTTTCTTTTCTTTTTTTTTACTTGTTAATGTAAGAATTACAATGATTTAATCTTCAATAATTCACTCCATGAAATGCTGTTTGTCAAAATTATGAAAATTCAATGCATGGGAAGCTCTGGAGTTAAATAATGGGTTGTTTAAGTCTACGTCTGTGTCCCTTTGTCTCATATAACTAATCACACAGAACCGTCTGAGAATTTTGATCATGAGGTCCTTTTCCTGTAATGTCTGTTAGGGTCTTAGGGCCAAATTCGGATGCTGGTTTAATATTGACCGGGCCTAACCAATCAAGACTGTCCTTTTTATGTGCCTGGACATAAAATGCATCACTGAATTTTCCACATGGAAGAATTTCCAAAGTTTGTATTGTTTTAATTAGTTGTTGTACACAAGGTTTTTGGGGCAGTCAAAGGGTTGGTGCAGATACTGTAATAAACCTGTACAATTTAAGCTGGTTTTAATACCCAGTGGAGTTTTTCATGTCTCATGCTGATTTCATGTCTTTGTGGCATGGTGGAGTACAATAAAACAGGCTTTTGGCCTGATTCTAATGGATGATTTTACAGTGCAATTATGTTGAATAAATATTTGGTTGTGAATGGAGTTTTGAAAAGAAGTTGGTTTTTATTTTCATTGCTAGAGATGAACTTACTCTGTTTGACTAAGGATTGCAGGATAAAATGCCTAGTTCATCTGAGGTTTGACAGTGAGTTAATATGAGAACGAATGTACAAAGGTTTATTTAAAAATAAATAAATTTGTAAATATATATAAATACCTTGCTACGTGTACTGCGTTAGGCTAACCGAGACTTGTCATTTGCACTTATATATTGTTGCTCTTTTGTTAGTTTTGGCTGCTTTTATTGTCATCATTTGTAAGTCGCTTTGGATAAAAGCGTCTGCTAAATGACAATGTAAATGTAAAAAATGTCAGCATTGACAAGAATAGTGCCTTTATTTTTGTATTACAAACGAACTATAAATGTGTTATATATTAACTATAACATGAAACAGATTTTACAACAAAACTCCAGTTCTACATTTCGACATTCAGGCAAAACCATTTTCCCATTAAAGACAGAACAACTATACCATCTGCAGGACTGATTTAGTCAAATTAGGTTTTTCCACTCTGTCTCTTGTGGTTCTGAATCATTCTCTTCATAAGCAAGTCCAACTCGAGGTCTGACCGCTGAACATCTGCGTTTCCACAGCCAACCTTTGGACAGCTGTGAAGAATGACAGAAAGGTTGGCAACAGTGGCTGTTATATTATTCTATACACTACAGTTCAAAGGATACATTAAAATGATCAAAAGTGAGAGTAAAGAATTTTACAATGTTACAAAAAAAATCTATTTCAAATAAATGTTTAGAACTTTCTACATGCTTTTGAACTTCATATTCACTAAAGAAATGGTGCCTTCCACAAATATATTAAGCGGCAAAACTTTTTAACATTGATAAAGTGATAATATTGATATTAAATGTAACACTGGTATAAGTTCAAGATTTAATAAATAACATTAAATAAGTTTAACATTAAAATGTTTTTTTTAGCAGCAAATCAGCATATTATAATGATTTCTGAAGGATCATGTGACACTGAAGACTAATAATTAAAACTGAAAACAGTGGTAACACTTTATAAGTATACACTAATAAAGTATTTAAAATTATTAAACTGTTAGTTCATCTTTAATTCATAGTTTATAAACAATAGTTAATACATTAGTAGACTCTATACAAATGGTGAGTTCTTCATTCATTAAATAAATAAATAATTAACAATTATTATTGTTTAATTAGCTCATAGTAAAGGAATTGTTAATTGGTAATAAGGAGTTCACTTTAGATAAGGTCACAAAAAAATGGGAAAATGTCATTAAATAATATCCAGTGTTCCTTAAAATGTTTACAAATACTGTACATTAAGGACACACACACACACACACACACACACATTGGCATATGTGGTTTACAGGGACTCTTCATAGGTGTAATGGTTTTTATACTGTACAAACTGTATATTCTATCTTCAAAAACATTTTAAAATCTTACCGACCCCAAACATTTGAATGGTTGCGTAAGTGTATGAAGCTCAAATATAAAGAAAGAGAACACTTCCCCCCAAAAAAGTAAGTAAATAAATAAAAAGTTTACGTTGATATTTGTTGGTTGCAGGATATGGAAATGAATTATGCATAGTAACTGTATACTTATTTGGGACAACATAAAGACAGAATTGAGCAGTGGCTACATACCGAAATTTCTTCTTATTTTTGTGCTTAGCCTTAATCATTTCAAGTACAGCCTCTTGGTCATAGTGATGAACGCATTTCTTGTTTTTCACTGGATTGACCATCTTAACCTGTCAGAACAAGGTACAGTAAAAAAAGTTTGTATGATATGACATTTCTATATTTTTCTTATTCTTGCAATTCAAATAACACACAAAAACACCACTACAAATGTGAACTTTTAACTCAAGGGCTTGTGCACTGACGTGATGACGTGAAATGGTGCTGATATTTACCTGGGTGAGAGGGCAGATGAAGTTTGTCTGGCTCTGTGTTACAGCAATGTCCTCATCCAACTCCTCTTCATTCTCAGCAGCAGTTTGACCTGCTGCATATACAGATGCATAAATATACATTTAGGAACTGCATCACTTCACTTATAACATGCGGCCTTTGTGAATGCTGTGTTGCAAAAAGGGTGAGTTCCTCACCTTGCATGGCATATTTCCTGACACTGTCTCTGAAGGCAACAACCTTGCTGTGCCTTTGCAGGTCTGCATCTGTAACTCCAGCTGTAAGCTCAGTGAAACGCTCCTTTACAGAGTTCCTCAGATGAAACATGGCCTCGGGAGGTTCACGTCTGACCTACAGGACATACGAGGGAAAGCCACGGTGGCTCAATGGTGGTCAAAATGAAGCACCAGTGACAGTCAATAAGACAAACCTGAGCAGTCTTCTCATCAACAGACTCCACAAAACAATTGATTTCTCTGTCCAATCTGGAGCACTCCAGAATCATCTCCTCCAGCTTCTTCAGAGCTGGACTGTTATCCATACCTGAAATAAAAGACAAAGGTAAAGTACATTTTAAAAAGTATGTCCAAAAGAAAGCTGAATTTTCAGCAGCCTTTACTCCAGTCTTCAAAGTCACGACAGTCAATAAGACAAACCTGAGCAGTCTTCTCATCAACAGACTCCACAAAATAATTGATTTCTCTGTCCAGTCTGGAGCACTCCAGAATCATCTCCTCCAGCTTCTTCAGAGCTGGACTGTTATCCATACCTGAAATAAAAGACAAAGGTAAAGTATAATTTAAAATGTATGTCCAAAAGAAAGCTGAATTTTCAGCAGCCTTTACTCCAGTCTTCAAAGTCACATGATCTTTCAGAAATCACTCACCTTGTGCTTCAACTATTCCCAGCGCAACATCTGATACCATGTCCATACAAGCTCCAATATCTGCCTGACATGACTTCAGAGTGGACAAGGTGGACTGCACTGAACTTAGAGACATATCGGGAAGCTATAGGACTGCTTGGGGGGGGGGGAGCATAAATTCAACCCACAAACTCACGTGCTGCTTTGACTCGTTTGGCAAACGTGCTTTGAAAAGAACATTTAAAGGGATAGTCTACCAGATAAAATAATAATAATGATTATTATTATTTCATCCTCGTGTTATTCAATACTTGTCTTTCTTTCTTTCTTCAATGGAACACAAGAAGATATGATAAAGAATAACAACTTCTGTCACCATTCACTTTTATTGAGTGGGAAAATATATAGATGTAGATAGAAGTGAATGGTGACTGAGAATGATGAAGAATTTGGAAGTGAATGATGAACGATAAATAATGGCATTACTATCTCTTTAACGAAATGTACTAATTTATAGATCTAATTGGTAAGCTATGGCATTTTCGTTTACGATCATTTTTTAAAAACATTTAAACTACTTATCTGCGATATTTTTGAAAATATACTCACATAAAATGATAAGAAACCTTCGCTTCACCAAAAGTAGCGCCACAAAGTAGCCGCTTCCGGTTTCAAAACGCCCCGAATGAGACGTCAACATAAAAGACTTCTAACGACTTCATAAAGCGGTCTTAAGGTTCTCACTACGTTACACATAATTGTGGTCAATTATGTGAATACAACCCATATAAATTATTTAAAAAAACTACATTTTCAAATATCTGCGTTTAGATAATAAACTGCTGATGTGTAACCAATGAGACTCGAAGCAGGCTTTCAATCAGTTGTGTTTTATTGAATTACAGCAGACTGGTTCTTATAAAGAGCAAGCAGGATTCTTGGTAGCAGTACAGTAGTCCTGATACATGTCTGAACATGACACTAAAGCAGCTGCAGGAAAAAGAAATACACTTAAGCGCGCTGAAAGCAGTTCACAGCCAAGTAGTGGAAAAATTAGTTACTGTAATATTGTCAGAAATTAGCCTATAACTACAAATAAACATGTGCTGTGCATCTCTGTATTGTACTGATTTCAGTTTTGATCATGTCAGTCAGGTGGGCTCTCTACCCTTGGCGATAAGGTACAGTATGAGAGCGCAGGCAATGTGTTTATGGTCCAAACAAAAGCCTAAAATATCACCTCGTTTTCTGGAATGAGATAGTTTTTATTGAAGCACCGCTTGTATGTGTCCACTTGAAATATTAAGTGCCTTCATGGACCACATTGTTTTATACCAGCTTCGCCAGCAGGTGGGTTAGTTTTGTGTCCACTCACAAAAATGATTGAACATTCCATTATAAGGGTCAAGGGAAATGTCTTGGGACTCCTATTATAAACGTAACAAAAGTCTCATCTTCAAAAAATTTTACAAATCTGTTGAAGTACAGAAAAAAATATTTACAAGGGCCCTTTTAAAAAACAAACGCATATTAGTAACAACATAGCAGTCAAACTTTGGCACTCCATGGTCACTCTCCAGACAGTGTTTCACAGATGCTCCCAGTTCATCTAGTCTCCGATGACCTCAAATCCAGATTATGATATCATTGGTTCCATTCATGACAATAGATGTCATTCCTTAATCATCAGGCCCATCTAGTTCGGTCATAGCAGCCTGTTTTCTTCTGCAACAGAACAAGCAACAAATGCTACTTGACTCACATAAATTATGGATGATGTTTTTGAAATAAAATCCAAAATTGACACTGCGCCCCCCTCCCAGCACACAAAATTTGAGCTCTGCCCTCTCTCTCGCTGCCAAGCTGTTTTTCTAAAGGCTAAATTACAGACGTACGACATTCTGGGTGTCTTACAACCACATCTGCTACATTATCACGAGAAGCAGCTATTTCTCAGGGAAAGCAACTCTCTCGCTCCTTCTCCATTCAAAATATCAACCAGATAGTTAAAATAAAAAAGGACTATTACCTTTATCACTTCATCCTGTCACTCTGTGCTCTGCCGATAGCACTTCAAGGTCTCGTGCCACTTTCTGTGCATCGTAATCTTTGCCATCAATGTCAGCTGCCAAGGAAACCCACCTCTTACCATCTACACTCGCCTGTCCATGTTGGTCCTTGCTCTTGCTGATATCAGGCATGTTGTGGCCCAACTTACTGGTGAACCATTCGACAATGTCCTGGTTGGTTAGTTTCGACTGCTCTGCAAGCTTCTCAAAACCCTCCCCTTTTTGTACCTTTGTCTCTTGAAAGTGCCTTTGTAGGACACTCTGGGCCTGCTCTGAGATCAACGTATTGTTTTGTCCATTCGGTCTCTTGTTGCTAAGACTTTGAAATTGCTCCATCCAATCTAATGTTCCATTTTTCAAAGCAGATCTGTTGTCCTTAAACCACCGGACAATTTCTGTACGAGCTAACCCTGTTTGGATTTCTAGTTGGTTGTACTCCTCTGGTGAGGGCCACTGGGTTTGTGCAAACACGTCTTTAAGAAGGCAGAGAGACTTGCCATCAATGGCCTCTGGACACGCAGAGGATGTCAGAATGGGAAGAGGTGAGTCCCTGACTCTGCTGTCCTGCTCATGGACTCCATTCAGTGTCCCCCTTTGAAGGTGATGCTCCAGCCTTTTTGAGCCCATCGAGTTGAGCAAGGCTTGCTCCAGGTTGTCTCGTAGTGCACGGCGCTCCGTGAACCAGCAATCAATTTCGTTTTTAGAGAGCCTGGTGTCTGCCACAAGTTGCTCTATCTCAGCCTGGGTTGGAAAGCTAGTCCTTTGGAAACTCTCCTCTAACTTTTTCATTTGCTCAGAGGATTTGCCTTTAACTCTCTCTAGTAGTGGAAACTGTGTGGCGACAGGCTTATGCGGTTGGCTGTCGTTCGAAGAGAGGTCTGTTTTAATCTGTTGCACTGCCTTATAGTTTCCATGGCGCTGATCGCTGAACCACTTTTTGATCTCTCCCCATGAGAGGCCAGTCGTCTCGATGAGACGATACACTTCTTCATCATCAGGAAACTGGCACTGAGCATAGCTGGTGGTCAGCTCTCTGATCTGATCAGGGGTTTTCTCACAATCTGAAGAAAGGCTTGGTGTTGGAGAGACAGACTTGGGAGTACTCTGAACGGACTGAATTATTGAAGGCCTCTTTATCTCTGGGGCAACCAGTGGTGCTGTATGGGGCCTCTTGACACCCTGTGCTATCTGATTTGTCACTGTTAGTGCGAGAGGAGCACCGGTAGCAGTTGAGCCATTGGAAACTGGTGCCAACACTAGGCCAGATTGTCCAAGAACATGGCAAGGGACGGTCTGGATAAGGGGCTGTGAAGCTTTAGTGGACTGAGTTAACTGAGCAGGAAAGACAGTGAATGCCTGTTGGACAGGCTGAATTGTTCCATTGAACATCTTCTTTCGTGCTTCCTCAACCTCCTCGGGAGACCAGCTAATACCTTGTTTTAGCCGTTGGGTAGTGAACCACACTTTGATTTGTTCTTCGGGGTGTTTGGAGGCTGCAGTGAGCCAAGAGAGCTCTGCTTGGGTAGGGTATGGAAACTTGTTGAAAGAGGTGATGAGGGTCAAGTTGCCATCTAGCGAGGGGTTGTATTTTAAAGTGTTCAAGGGGACAGCAATTTTTGGTACTAAGTTGTAGTTAGGCGGGCGTTGCAAAGATGGCATTATATGAGAGAGGCCATCCTTAAGAGTTGCATCTGGAATTATCACAGTCCCGTTCACATTCACTGCAGTAATTTGCTTTTTCGGTAGATCTTGAGCGACTTTGTCCAACGGAATATAGTCCTGCAACCGTAAACTACCTGCTTTAGGCTTACCCACCTTAACAGTACTGGATTTGCTCAGAGGAAATGCAGTAAAGTCCTCTCCTGACTGAGGGCTGGTTGTATCATAGATGACTGCACAGTTCGAACCTTCGATTGTCTGTTCTAGAATGGTCTGACTGTTGAGTTTGATTCTCTTGAACTTGAAGTTGCTCTCCCCAGGATGGCACTTCTCATTGTGTTCTGTCAAAGAATCAAACTTTTTTGTGTTGAAGTTGCATACCGCACACAAGTACAGTGGGTTGAGTATAACATTGGGGTGGTTGGAATCGACATGATCTTTGAACTCGTTGAGATTTTGTGTGGAAAAGGGACAGTATTTGCACTCATAGCCTCCCTGGAGTTTCCTCTGTGGTTGTGTTTTCACTTCAGGTTTTTCCAGCTCTGTTGCTTCCTGCACAGAGTTCACAGAACTCTTCCTATCCGTCCAGTCGTCACTAGAAGACACATGTGAGGATCCATTCTCTTCTGGACCATCCACACAGGAATCCATTTCTTCTGGATCGTCTGCAGTCACCAAGTCATCCGGTCGGATCATGCAGGGTGTTGTAGACTTTCTTCGACTAGCCATGGTCAGGGAGTAAGACGGTACAGTGCAGGGGGACTCTGTTGATGGGCAATGAGCAGGTCTTTGTCTGGTGGAGGATGATTCTGCTGACTGTGAATGTCAGCTCCAATGGAAGACTTCATGAGACTTCATCCCAGATCACACAGTCTATTTAAAAAAAGAAAAAAAGATGCAAAATAAGCATTACTGACTCGTATATCAAAACTAGATTTCATGCATTAGAACTGTATGTAAAACAATTACTGGGGTGCTTAAGGGGGTAAAACACAGGACAAGAAAAACCACACCGCATCACGGGTAGGACAAAATTGAGGTATAGCACACAGAACATGTATATGTTCAGTTCAAAGTCAACTCCTGATAATATTCAAGATGGAAAGTCCTAAAGAGTGAAATTCAAAAGACAAAGGTTTTTGCACTTTTTCATGAATGAACATGAAGTTTTATAGGTTGTTGTATTAAAAAAAAGATTACAAGAAATAAAGTACCACAAACAGACAAACTTGTTATTGAAAAACTGTCTATAAACAAGGTATCTTCTAGCCTACAATATACATGTCACTTGAAAATATTTGTTTTGTATACGATTTTTGAATGGCACATAAGAATTTTGAGCAGTCTGAGTCCACAAAGTCATATCAGGTGCTGTCGAGAGATGATGAACAGCTTTGGTGTGCAAAGATTGATAGAAAACTATGGTTTCGATTTTAGGATGCTGCAAGTTGTGTGTGTGACTGCCTGTAGACACTTAATGTGAAAATGCAGAGAGTTTTTCAAGGTTCTTCACTGTCTGAAGTAAACAACAGATAGATGAACAATAAAGGCTTATGCTTGCCGTTTCAATGTGATTAGATGGATTTCTATCAACACAAAAGATCTGCTTTTTAATCACAGTTAATTGTCACTTCAGGTGCAACACAGCTTGATTTAGTGTGAAAATCATCACAAAGGACTACAGAACCTGCATAAAAGCATTTAGATAAACACCCCAGTGCTGTGTATTAAATTAGAGGCATCAGCAATATGGTGGTCAGTCCGGATGGGAGGGGCAAAAACATCCTGTGCTAGGCTGAACTTGTCCAGTCCAATAATAGCCTTCCTCAGGCCTGTGTTGCCCTCAGCAGATCTCAGTACA